TTCTTTGACTCAAAATGATACTCGCGTATCATTTTAAGTCTAGGAAACTGTACTAGATTGAGTACCAAACTGGAATGTAATGTTTTTTGGCCAAATTACTATACATTTCGCTATGTGAGAAAATCTTTACACAGTAAAGTTGGACGAATTGATATCTATAAATTACTCATATGGTACCATCTCATTCTCGTAACAATAATGCCGATAATTATCGCATCCGCGCTGCAACTTGCTTTGGAAATCATAGAAACGCACTTCCCTAGAAACTGCTTAGGTATTCCACAGCCAAATTATGATGAATATTGTTTATCGTTTACTATCTACAAGACTGCGATAGTCAGGTCAATTTGGAAAATAATCTTCGCATGTTAATATATTTTTCCTATTATAAGATACAACATATTAGTGTGCAAGGTACGCTATCATGATATGTGCTAGACCAGGGGGTCGACAACATTTTTGACTCAGAGAGCCAACAAAACAAATATTTCTAAATATATTTCAGTGAGAGCCATATAATATATTTTAAGATTAAATTCAATTAAGTGTGAGTATAATAGGCAGCTGGATTTATTCTTTTGAATAATGCTCTTAGAATCCTCATTATTAATGCGGCTTCTGGTGCTGCATGGATTCTCTGATGGCTTTGTAGTCTGATTGATAGTTGGTGAGGTTATGCTTCATTCAAGCGTCGAGGCTTTCATCAGCTAGACATGATCGTAGGGTTAACTTAATGTATTTTAGATGTGAAAATGACTGCGCACATGCATAAGTAGATCCAAACAAGGTCAATGCAGCAATACTCACACGCTGTAGTGTGTGTTATGTGATAGGACGCTTTTTCCCGGTTTTTATTATCACCTGGTCTTTGGGTTAAAGTGTTTCTAATTTCCGTCCACATGTGTTTGCTTGCCAACTCCGCTTTATGTCGTACGATTCTTTTCAAATCTTCACTGAGTGACTTGAACTTATTCACTCACATGTCTGAGGCCTTCAGGTCAGTCACTTCTTCGAAATCTCGAACGGAAACACCAGTAATATAACTTACGTCGACTGCGTTCAATGAACGCTTGGCTGGATAGGCGATGAACTTAAAAAGACGTGTTTGCTTACGGAATTCACCAAAGAATATTTTAAACGACTGTAGGAGAGTGGATGTAAAGCCAGCTAGATGGTAGATATCAAGGTTTTGAGTGGGTTTACTTACGGCGCATTTATCTCGCTTTTTCAAAATGTGGTAAATGATCTGTTTTGAGATCCATGACAAAGAGCTCCACCTTATTTTCAAAAGCAAACACGGCTTGTTGAAGGGATAACACTGTATTCCCAGTACCTTGCATTTTAAATTTGAGCTGGTTCAGGTGTTCGGTCATATCCACGAGATAGTAAATCATGAGCAGCCACTCAGTTTCGGTTAGCTTAGGATGCTCAATGCCCTTCATTGCAAGGAAAATCCGTATTTTGTTCAGGCAAGCCACAAAACGGCTAAGCACCTTCCCTTTTGCCAACCATTGTACATTGCTGTACAAAAGCAGACCATGATGGTTATTTCCAACTTCATCCAGCAGTGTTATAAACTGCCGACTATTTAAGGCTCGGGCAACAATAAAGTTGATTACACGAATGACCAGCGACATCACTTCGCCAAGCTGCCCTCACACATCTGAGCACAAAGGGTTTCCTGGTTAGATCGAAGTGGAGTTTTAGAATGAGTCTATTTTCATGTTTAAAGAGAAGCGCCACAATTTTTTTGTTTTTCCCCACCATACACCATCAGTATACACCCAGGTAAGTTTATCGATAGGTAGTTTTTTTTTCTTGAGCGAACTCCACGAAAGTCTTGAATAAATCTTCACCTTTTGTGACCCCTTTTTATCAGCAGAACAGTAAGACTTTCTTCGTGCAGTGTATCGCCAGCAGCATATCTTGCAAGCACACTGAACTGCGCCAAATGGCTTACGTCTGTTGAC